TGTTGAGGTCGCGTTTGGTCATGACAGCTATCTCGAGGCCATAGAAGTGTCGATAGAACCAGCGAGCACCACAGTCGGACCCGAAGCTGAACGCTAAAGTGGCCATTAAACGCTCGACGGGCCAGGCGAGCATGTGCGGCGCTACCACCCTGAATCCTATGAGATACCTCCTCCACCAGCGAACCATCGTCACGCTGCTTAGCTCCAGGATATTTGACGCTTGCAGTGGCATGTACAGGCGTGGTTTGCATTGTAATGTTCGTTTGCCTGGCTCTCATATTAGTATTGCGTTGCTTGCTCTTGGTGCCCGTCACCACGATTAGCATCTCGGTCTTAGCGTCGTTTACTTTCGTCCTACCCTTAGAGATTTCGGGGCGCGGGAAGGCGAGGAATCGCGAGGCCGTCTCCAAGTTCTCGACGATGGTGAAGGCGATCCGGTCATCCACGAACTTAATCGGCGAGGCTACCATTCTCTCCTCCCCTTTCATCTCCCTCGAGGTTATGCTGATGCCACATATGTTTCAGCTCAGGGTCAACGGTGACGTATACTTCAGCAAACTCCGAAACTGAGTGGCTGCTCTCGAGGGCTGACGTGAGGAGGTCGTACACTGCCACAGCCAACAGCGGGCCCTCGACGCTGCCCTGGCGGACCCCCTTCGGGATGAGGAGCTTCCTGGTGGGCATGTTGGTCCTGATAGCACGGGCGATGTAGCGCGTGCCTTCATGGAGCTCCTCGGCTGTGAGTCTGGCGCTTCGTGTGACGGCGAGCGTCTCGAGTGCGGTCCAAATCTCATCGCGATCTATCAGGCCAAACGCCTTCTCGAGGTCAATCAGAACTGCCAGGAGCATGCCAGGCGCTGTGCCAGAACGAAGCCGAGACCTGCGCCCATGCAGACGGTACCGTCGGATAACTTCAGCTACGACTGCAAGGGCATCTCGAGTAAACCTACCCGCCACAGCCCCGAACTGCGAAAACGATAAACGAGGCGCCAGCCCTCGAAGTTCGGGCATGGCCGTAACATTCATGTAGACCTTGCCAATGTGGTTGGTCCGGTTGATCGTTCTGTAGTGGTCTTTGGCACACTTGCCGTCGCCCTTCTGCTTCCTGAGGGAGACCGTTTTGCCGCCCTTGAAGCGCTGGGCAGAGTGGCCGAGGGCCTGGCAGGCATGGAACACGTTCTGTAAGGCTGGGGCTGTTTCGGTAACGCATAACTTCGAAATCTCAATGACGGATCCATCAGAGGGCTGGTCGACGTGGCGATCGATGTTGGGCTCGATGGCGTGCTCCACGTCTCGCATCGCGGGCATCTTGAGGACAGGGGCACTCTTGTAGTTCAGCATGTTGAGGATGGCCTTCGTTATGTCATCGACGTCGTAGGTGCCAATGCGCGCGTCATCTCTCGGAAGGAGGCCTGGAGGTCCACCTAGGCTGTTCACGTCGGTGATTGTGCCATCAAAGATGGTGCTCAACGCTCGGGCTCTGACCTCGACCTCCTCCTCTGCGTCCTGGCAGGTTCCTCCAGTTGCGGGGCTGGTGACCGTGACGACGGGGGCAACTGGCTCAGGTGCCAGGCGCCGCACCACAACGTGCAGGCGGCGGAGGTTCATGGCGGCCTCTGCTGCTTCTGCTTCTCTAGCCGTCTCAGCGAGGTGCTGGCGGCGCTCGGCTCGAACTGCTCTGGCTGCGGCTCGGGCTGCCTCGTCGAACCTGGACTGGAGGCGGCCGTAGGCGGGGGTGGTCTGATCCGCGTGGAGAGCCATGCGCCTCTGGGCCTCGTGCTTCAAGTCTATCAGGGCCAAGGTCCCATCCTTCAGCTTCGACCCATTCACCTTCGTCGGCTGGAGGAGGTAACGCGGGGCCGCAGCCTCGATCACCGTGTGCTCCAGCGCATTGAAATATTCGGAGGGCGCGCCGTGCTGCTGGCCCCCCCCCCCCCCCCCCCCAGCAGACCCGATGCCACGGTTGGGTTAGATTACGCTGACGGGGAAGAGTCTGGAGGTGGTCGCGCATCGCAACAAGGCGAGGGGCGTCGGCATTCTCGTCGCTCAGTAGGCGTAGGTCCTTCACCAGAACTTCGCGATCCCATCTAGCTGGCTTGGGTTCAGGCTTTTTTTCTTGCGCGCACGCCAGCATAGATGTGGGCCTCAACTGGGCGGTGGTCTCGATATCCTCCGAGGCTAACTGGTCAGTCTTTAGGGGGGGAGCCTTGGTGCCATAGGCTCCGCATAGTCTAACACAGATGTAGTCGATGGTCGTCCAGCCCTTGCCGATCACATGCTTCCACGTTCCATTATGTCTCGTACGCTTGCCAGAGGTGTTGATGGCAGACAGGTGGAACGTCTGGAGGAGGTCTAGCAAGCGGGCACCGTTGCCGTTCAAGCTGGCGCGCATGCGGCGCTGGCCCGCAAAGCCAACGTGCGGGAGCTGGGGCGCCAGAGCAGCATTCGCATCCATGGTCATCACGAGGGCGACCCGCTGCGGCAACTGGCTCAGGGCGGACCTGCACGTGTCCCAAAAGCGGTCCTGGAGGTCTCGGTGGACGATGCCCTTCTGGTGTTGGTCTTCGCCAGCCTTCGCGGGTCCAGCTTCGTTGAGGGGGGCGTAGCCGTTCAGAACGTATAGGTATCTTTCTTTGGGTCCCTTACGTGTAGGGCGAAACCGTGTAGTCGGCCGTCCAGCCACGTTTGGGATACTGTAAGTTCTGAAAGAGCGAATATGCGGAGGTCGAAGGCGATCAAGCAACCATCTCTGCTCGTTCGTGTCGTGCGCGGGGTCGGAATGCTCAGCTCCATGAGGGTGCTCTGGAGGCTGACGACTGCCACTCTCCTGGATCTCGCAAGCCTGAGAATCTCCGCCAAGCGACCTGCCCGAAGTAGGCTCTTGCAGTTGTAGGTCCAGAAGGTGAGCTGCTGGGTGTGGCAGTGGTCTCGGCGGCGGCGGTGGTGATAATATACGGCGGCACTGGTGGCCGTACTTGGTGCGGTAGGCGATGCACGAGCTGGTGTCGTAGCCAAGCGCGTGGACGTCGGTCTTGCTCCTGGAGCTGTGAATTCATGCAGTACTGGGAGAAGTGCGGCTGCCGTGGCTCTGGTATACCTCTTGCCATGGTACCACACCTGTCCTTCCAATCTCAATGTTCGCACGGCCCGTCGCAGGGCCCTTTTGCCACCCATATGCACTTGCTCCCTGGGGACCGTTGTCGGCATTGTCGATATTACCTCCAGGTTCAGGACCGTCGTGCTGCGGTCCAGCGCTCACCTCGCCGACCTCAGGGTTCTTGGAGGTCCTCCCCATCACATGCGCCTCGCGGCGCTGGCCATGGCGGCAGAAGGGAAGAAGGTCGGTGATCGGGCTGGGACTTGCGACCCAGCACGCACAAGAGCACGCTGTGTCACTCGAGCCGTCGAGGCTTTCGTTTCACTTCCGCCAGCTTCCGCCAGCCTTCCGCCGCCTTCCGCCGAGGAAGAGATGGCAACTCCTTCGATCCTCGAAGGCAAGGCCTCTTCTGGAACGCCTTATGTAAAATTGGCCACGGGGCCTTTGGGCGGCCTCTCGGGGCCTCTTGGGGGCCTCTCGGGGCCTCTTGGGGGCCTCTTGGGGGCCTCTTGGGGGCCTCTCGGAGCCTCTTGGGGGCTGGTTGGGGCCTGCTGACAGCGTCCTGGAGGCCTCCAGGAAGGTCTTGAGGGCTTGTTGGGAGCTGCACACCTCAAGATAAAGCCCCACGACTCTCTCCTGGGGCCTTGGGAGGTGCCCTTGGGATCCTCGGGGGGCTCTTTTGGGTTGTCTTGGTCGTTCCGTGGACTGTCTTGGGACCCTCTTGAGCTGCGAGGGGCACTCTGGAACCGTTTTGGGACCCCCTCCGGCGCCTCTTTTGGGCAGTTTTGGAGACGATGCTGGCCTCCTTGGGCCCTCTTGGGGGGCCTCGTCGCGTTTGTGAAACCTCTTTTGGGTGTCTCGGAGCGGTCTTGGGGCTCTCTCGGGACGTCCTGGAAAGAGGCCATCCTGGGCGCTCTCGGAGCGCTCCCGTGCGTTCCTGGAGCCTCGGGGGCCTCCAGGAAACCTGCCCGGGGGGGGGCATACTATGCAAGGGAGGTCCTGGCCCTGGGACCTTGGGCCGGGATCTCCCATAGATGTATAAAGAAACCGCAGTGTTCCAGAAGGGTCCTAGAAACCCAAAATGGCCCAAGCACTGCCCAAGATGGCCCAAGAGGGCTGCACGAACAATCCAAGGCAGCCTAGGAGAGCCTCTTGAGTCTTGAGGGGGCCACGATGGCCCAAGAGGCCGCCAAGACGGCCCCCAGAGGGCGGCATGACAGCCAAGACCAACTGGACCCAATACGGTCCCGCAGGCCACTGCAGAATCTTCCCCCCCCTCCTCTCTCTCTCTCTCTCTTGCTCCTCCGTTTCCTCCTGCTTCTCCTCCCCACGACGTCGCTCTCCTCCTCCGTGCTCCCTCCGCTGCTCCTGCCCAGTTCCCCATGCCAGCGCCTGCGGGGCCCAACAGCGACGTCCGCCTCAGCAAGGGGGGCTGGCGGCGGGTGCGGCGGCAGCCAGGCGGGCGCACCCCGGCAGCAGGCACGGCAGATCGCCAGATGCGCGATGCGCGCAAGAGCCAGGCGAGCGGCGCGAGCAGCCAGATGGACCCCCTACGCCTCGCCCCGCCCCGCCTCCGCGTGCCCCCGCCGCTGGACAGCACAGGGGGCGGGGCAGGCCGCAGGACGAGCCTGCCAGCAAGTACACGCCGGCCGGAAGAAGTAGGCAGAAGCGTGAAGCAGGAGGGCGGATGGAGCAGATGGGGTCCAGGCCCTCCCAGAGAATCGCAAGACACAGGAAAAACAGGCCGATCCTTGAAGTAGGAAGGCGCTTGAAGTAGGTTGGGATCTGGGAGTCCAGAAACACCTACTTTCAACGACCGGCGTGTACTCGTGGGCGGCGGCACGTGCGCGGAAACTCCACGCAGCGCTCTCTCCCCGCTTTAAAGGCCTACCCTTTTAAAACACTATCTCAAACGGATGGAGGCCTTGGACGGCCGGGTGGGCCCTCGCGGGAGCCTCCGTGGACCTCCGCGGCCCCGGCAGGGCCGTGACTTCGACCGGACTTCGCCCAGACTTCGAACACCCCGCTTCAACCTGTCGCCCAGCTTTCGTCCAGGTGTCGACCAAATCTGCAGCACTCCCAGCGACATCCTCAAAACCGCATAAGCGGAATTGTGGGATCCCCTGAGGCTCCCATGCAGGGACCACACGAGGACGGGTGTCCGCAAGGCGCTCGAAGATGTAGCAAGGCTTGGCGGCCCTGAAGGTGTTCCGAGGGCGTGGACGCCCCCGGCGCCCCTCGACCGACCGGTGAGACCCAGAGCGCTCGAGAGCGTGCCCGAGGCCAACGCCCCCACGTCAGCCCCTCGACCGACCGGTGAGACCCGAGGCCCTCGAGAGCGTGCCCGAGGCCGGCCCCCCGTTGGAGAGCGGGGCGAGCCGAGACCCCCCGGCACCTCACGGGAGAAGCGGTGCCCGGAGACACCTCCTCCTCCTCCTCCTCCTCCTCCTCCTCCTCCTCCTCCCTCCTCCTCCTCCTCCCTCCTCCCCTCCCTCCTCCTCCTCCCTCCTCCCTCCTCCTCCTCCCTCCTCCCCCCCCCCCGCGGCGCCCAGTCGCGCACCCGCTGCACCCCGAGCCGCGCCTGGCCGCGGCGAGGGAGGGGGGCCCCCCGAAGTCCAGCTTCAGCTCGGGCGTCCTCGCATCCAAAAGTGGTCAAGGCAGACCCCCAATGGTCAAACAACAATTCATCTAAAAAAATCGTCCCCAGACTACTTGTTGACCGTGTTTGAATACTCCCCCTGCGGAGGACACGCCCGACTCAAGCCTGGCCGCGGCGAGGGATGGGGACCCCCCAAGTCCAGCTGCCGCGGGCTCGTGTCGTGCAGACTCCAGCGGTGCTTCCGGACCCGGGGCGCTGGCGGCGGGATGGCCCCCCTCCTCCTCGAGAGGGGGCGAGGGCGTGCGCCGCCCCAGGCACTCTCCGGGCCTCTGGGGGCCCGTGCGGGGCGAGGGTCCTCAGATCTGACGCTGCACGAACAAAAACGCTCTGGACACCTCGGGGATCGTTCGACCTGGAGGACGATCGGCCGTGTCCGAAGCGTCAGATGCCTCAACATCGACCGATTCTGGGTCGCCCGCGGCATTCCACGTTGAACGCTGGCGGCGGAGTCGCCGCTGGTGGACACAGAGGAGGAGGAGGAGGAGGAGGAGGAGGAGGAGGAGGAGGAGGAGGAGGAGGAGGAGGAGGAGGAGGAGGAGACCGTACCGTTGTCTCGACTCGCCCCCCTCTGACCCCACCAGGGGGCGCCTGCGGGGACCGCCGTTGCGCCGTGCGCTCAGCTTGGGCCTGCGCACCCCACCTGCAGGTCGAAGACCGTCTCGGGGATGCTGCGCCCAGCCGCCGGCCCGCGCGCCCGCAGCGCCTCCATCTCGTCCAGGCCGTCGAAGAGAGCCTCCTGTGCGCGACGTGGGTGCATCCATATCCACCGCCGGGGATCCGACGTCCTGTGACCCCAGCGGGCGGTGTATATGGATAGATTTCGGCCCCAGGGCCCCCGAACACATGTGCATCCACCGCCTCCCGAGGTCCGAGAAGATCGATCTACCGCCTACCGAGGTCCGAGGTCCGAGGTGGCGTGGGTGCATCTATATCCACCACAGGGGATGTGAGGTCCTGGGACTCCAGCGGGCGGTGGACACGGATATGTGTCGGCCCTGGGGCCCCCGAACACATATCTACAGCCACCGCCCACCGAGGTCCAAGAAGATCGATGCCCCAGGCGGTGGTGAAGGATAAAAGCACTGCTGCAGGCTCCTTCGCCTGCTAGTGGGAAGCAGGCCTCTGGGGTCAGCGACAGGCGGAGGGCAAACACGAAGGGGAACAACGATGCCTGAACAGGAGTGCAACTCGGGGGCCACGAATGCCCAAAGGACCCGCCAAGGCGGGGAAGACGCATAGCTGTGCAGACAAACGAGGGACGAACAGAAACGGGTCTTCCGTTAAGTCGGGCGTGTCCCCCTACAGGGGGATTTTCGACGCAAAAAAAAAACAATACCCCCAACATACCCCAAAATGGTCAAACAAATATTTGAAAAACAGTCTCAGGCTATCTTTTTATAATTTTTTGATTATCTGGGGGGCATTTTGTATTCCTCGTCGAAAGCCCCCCTGTAGGGGGGCAGGCCCGACTTACGTCTCCCGCGACATGGCACAGCGACCTCCCGCGGCGGCCTCCGCGGGCCGCAGGCGCGGCGCCGGGGCACGCCACGGTGGCAGGAGGGGGGCGCTCACGCGCCACCCTGCGCGGGGGCAGCGCGCGCGCCAACGGCTGCGCAGACGACCCCGCTTGCGTGCGTCGCTCCGATGCTGCCCCGCGCGCGGGAGAATCCGGGGACTGAGCCGGCCCCCTCCTTCGGCAGGGACCGACCGTCCTGGCATTCCTATAAGCCTGCCGCGGCATGCTCTTAGAACCCCCCAAAACGCAATTACTAATACTAATAATAATAATAACAATAAGAAGAAGAAGAATAATCACAATAATAATAATAATAAGAATAATAATAATGATAATGATAATGATAATGATAATAATAATAGTAGTAGTAGTAATAATCATAATCATAATACTAAGAATAACAACACTAATATTAATAATAATACTACAATTAATAATAACAAAAATACTACTAATAATAATACTGATAATCAAAGCCGCGTTCTTAGAACATGAACCGGGTGTGCTAAAAAACAAGACAGTCTCAGCCAGAACTGTTCTAAGAACATTTCGTGAAGACCACAGTGGGTTCTCAGAACACCCTTTGGTGGGCCTCAAGGCAAGCCAGGACGCTCCGCCTCTGCTCGACTTCCCTGACCCCCCCAAAAGGCGGACCCCTCTTGGCAGGCACCATAGGAAGGCTCCTGAGCGCAGGCCAGCACGTGCTCCTTCAGGTAGAGGTACCGGCCGTGCACGTCGATTTGCACGCGCCAGCCCCCCGCGCCGCGGGCCGAGATGGTGACCCCGGAGACGAAGGCGCACCTCCGCAGGACCTCTGCGGCGCCAGGGGGGGGGGAGCTCGACAGAGGCGAGCGGGGCGGAGGGCCCCGCGGGGGGCCCCGTCTGTCAGCGGTCGAGGATCGAGGAGTGTCAGCGATCGGGGATCGAGGGGGATCGAGGATGAGTCCGTTTGAGGATCGAAGGGGGCCACGAGGAGAATCGCGAGGACGGCCGGGGACCAAGGAGGTGGATCGGGGATATAGGAGGACCGGGCGTTGGACAATTGTTGCATTTCCGGGCCTCTGGCAGGGGGGGGGCACTGCGCAGCACCCCGCGACTGCGGACAGGAATGATGGGGGGGCAGGCGTGGAGGGTGGGTTGCGGGGCGGGCCGCGGGCGAGTCGCAGGTGGGTCGCGGGGTGTGTCGCAGAAGGGCTGCGGGGGGGAGGACGACGGCGACGGCGACGGCGACGGCGACGGCGACGGCGACGGCGACGACGACGACGACGACGACGACGACGACGACGACGACGACGACGACGACGACGACGACGACGACGGGGTAACGACACCGGCTGCAGGCCCCATCAAACCCTTCAGCCCTTCTAGGACGGTGCAGGCCCCGGCGGTGGAGAGAGATCCAGATTCCAACTGGACGGATCAGATCCCAAGTAGACGGTGCAGATCCCAACTGGTAAGAAAACTGGCAGGGTCCAGATCCCAACCGTTCTGTTCTATGAATTCCAAGCGCTTGAAGCGCTTGGAAGTCGCTACGTCAACGTTTTTCATCGGCGCTTCCTTGAAGGCGCCTCCTCGGCTTCGTGCAAGGTTCCCATGGGTTCCTCGCACGCTCCCCAGGGGATTCTGGATGAATCCTGAGGAGTCCGGAGGATTCATGAGCTCCCTAGCGATTCCTGAAGGATTCCTGAAAGATCCCTGAGGATTTCTGAAGGGTCACTGAGGATTCCTGCAAGACTCCGGAGTTCCTCAAGATTTTCTGGGGTTGCTGAAGATTCCTGAAGGGTTCCCGAAGACCTGTGGGATCCCCGAAGATTCCAGGGGGAGCGCTTATTGAAGAGCCCCCCGTATTCTTTAAGGCTTCCTAAAGATTCCGAAGAATTTCTGCGGATTCCTGAAGGATTCTTTTGAACTATTGAACGGATCCTAAAAAAATCCTGACGGCTTCCTGCTGCATTCCTTGGGATACATGGGGGATTTCTTTCGGATTTCAGAGCAGCTTCTGAAGGTTTCCAGGGATTCGTGAGAATTCTTCCGGATTGTCTGAGGCATTCTTGGCGGCGTCTTGAAGAAGACCCCTGAAAGATTCCCGGGGATTCCTAAAAAGGTTGTTGAAGGATTCCTGAGGGTATCCTGAGGATTCCTCCGCGGCTCCCTGATGGAATCCTGAAGGGTTCCCGAGGATTCCTGAAGATTCTTAAGGGTCCCAAAGGATCCCCGAGGCATTGCCCCCAGGGTTCCTGACGCATCCCTGAGGATTCGAAAAGGGTTCGACAAAGATATGTGAGGATTCACGAAGGGTGCTTACCGTCAGAGACGTGGCATAGCGTAGACGAGTCGTGTACAGCGCGCATATGTTTCGCATGTGCTTCTCAAGCATTCCGCACACGTTTCGTACGCGTGCCTGATCATTTTCGGATACTCGTCCCATGCGTTTGGAATACGTTTGATACAAGTTTCGTAGACATTCTTATGCAAGACCGTCTTGGGGTGCCTGGAGCCTATATCAAGCCCGTATGGAGTACGACTTAGACCTCGCATGTACTCACGCAGTGGAACGGTCTAGATTCTAGATCCAACAACGCGCTATGAACCAAGTGAGTCCCCTCGAGCCCTCAAGGGAAACCACGCGGTGTGCATTGCCACGACGATCATGCGAAACATATAGTTTTGCATTGGTTCTTCCGGCGGTTGGAATCTGGACCCTTCCCGCTTGTTGGGATGTGGACCGTCCAGTTGGGATCTGGACCGTCCGATTGGGATCCGACCTCATCGCTCATGCTGTTGGACTGTATGTCCCTGTACGGGAAGGAGAAAGATGGAGCACGAGAGAGATTAGCAGGGGGTGCTTAGAGCCTCTAAAACAAGGAAGGGACGGAGGAGGGAAGGTGCACGGGACAGGGAGAAGGATGGAGCACGAGAGAGATTAGCAAGTGGGGCGTCAAGAGCAGGAGAACAAGCGGCACAACCAGAGGGGCGTGTCGGCCGGCTGGCGGACCCTATTGGGGCGGGTTGGGCGGGCGGGCCCAGACGGCCGGGTCGAGCGGGCGGGTCGCTGACTCGTCAGTCCCGCATGAATCGCGAGAAAATCTCGAGCGACGGCGCGAGTCTGAAATAAGCCGTGAGGACGTCCAGAGCGAGAGCGTGTTTCCTGAGTGTCGAGGGCGCGGCGTGTGAACAAATTGCGAGGAAGTCCCTCGCGAGAGCGCGGTTCCTGGGTAAAGTGCCAGGAATTCCCGAGCGAGAGCGCGATTCTTCAATATACTGTGCGGGAGCATGAGGCGGGAACCGCTCTTGCTGTACTTCGGGGGCCCAGGGTCCAGTTTGGAGACTTCACATCTTCCCTCGTAGATCAAAGAGTGCGAGCCCCGAGGAGGGCATTTCAGTTGACAATAACACATCGCTTGTCACCGCAAAGGGGGATCTACCATAACTCTTTGTTGGACGTAAGGAGTTCAACAACAGACAACAGACAAGCAAAGTCCGGACCCCGGAATCCCACGTTCCCCACGCACGCAGGGATGAGGTAAGTTCGCTCGGCCCCCTGGCACTGAGATGTATTAAGTCGGGCCTGTCCATCTACAGGAGGAGTATTCAAAAACAGTCAAAAATAGTCTGGGGACTATCTTTAAACCTATCGTTTGACCATTTGGGGGTATTGTCTGACTACGATTTACTTTTCGTCCAAAATCCCACTGTAGGGGGACAGGCCCGACTTGAGAGATGCGCCCAAAGCCAAAGAGGCGAGGCTCCCGGAGGGAAGCGCCCAATGCCCGCCCTTGGACTGCCCGCCCCGCGCCCCCTCTGCCGAGGCACGGGCCACGAGGCAACCGGGCACTGGCTAGAGGAACAACAAGCGCCATAAGCACGATGGTGCCCCCATCGTGCTTAAGGGCTACATCCCAGAAGTAATCTCGAGCACCCGGAAAAAGGTCGAAAGAGTGTCGAAAGAGTGTCGAAACAGTGTCGGGCGAGTGTCTCTCAGGGCCCGACACGTGAAAACCCTCCAATTTCGGTACTTTCCTGGTTGCTCGAAAGTCTTTCTGGTGATCAAGGCTAGACAGTAGGTTGGAACATCATAACATAAGCACAGACTTTGGGCGCTCCACGCGGATCTTTGGGATCTGCGCTGTACCCCCTCCCTGGCGCGCTCCGCGCGCCAGGGGCGGCGCCAGAGGCACCGCCCAAAGGGCCCCAGCGCCGATCCAAGAAATCCGCGCGGAGCGCCAACAGTTTATGTTTACGGCGTTTTTTTCTTCTTCGACCGGAGCCCGTGGATCTCCCAAGGCCCAGGTTTTTTTAATCCCGAGCCGATCATTGACGGCTCCGGGGCCCGGGGCTGCAGACCTCAGGCCCTCTTCCCCTCAGGCGTGGCCTCCTCCAAGCCGCGCAGCAGCGCGGAGCCGAACTTCGGAGTCTCGGGCGCCGTGCTCGGCGCCGTCGGCTCGGCCGCCTTCTCGCGCGGCAGCTCCGCGTCGGCAGACGTCGCCTCTTTGGCGGGCGCCCGCACGGCGCCCAACTCGACGGGCTCAAAGGCGCGGGCCCTGCTGCTCAGCTTCGTGCGCCCCGCCGCTGCCGGCGCAGCTGGGCCCACGGCGCCGCGGGCCGCCAGCCACTCCCGCGCCTCTGGGGGGGGCGCTCCACAGGGGGGCGTCCAAGAGGGGAGCCCTGCAAATCATGGCCCGAGGCATGTGCGCGGCCAGGGGTGTCAAGAGAGCGCCTCGGAACAAGAGGCGGAGCCACGAAACCCAGAAGATGTCATGGCACCTGCCATGTCGCCGCGCCGTTCGTTCTCGACGCGCCCAAGTGGACGACGCCGGCACCACGGGAAACCCACGGTACACCCTGCGTCGCACGCCCCAAACAGACGCCGCTGCCACGCGGCAAACCCCACGGCGAGCCCACCGCGCCCGAGGCAGCGTTTACCCTGGTGGCCAAGGCGCCCTCCCCAAGACGTGAGACCACGGAACAAAAGGCGCGGCGACCCCCCCCCCACACATCCTTGTTCCCTATTACAATATACCCCCCCACCTACGTCGTATTCCGGCCGATAGCGACCCAATCCGGGACCTCCCATCCGGACTGTAAAAAAATCATTACAAAGTGTCAGTTTTTTCTCAACATCGTCTTCCTTGTCGTCGACGATGCGAAAAGCGTGGCAGGAATGGGACGCGGCACACATCGCGCGCGGCAATCAATCTGGGCCCGCCCATCCTGACTGTAAAAAATCAAAACAACGTCTTCGCTTTTTTCATCTCAGCATGGCCTGCCTTGTCGTCGACGGTGCGAAATATGTGGCAACAGTGGGACGCGGCGCACATATGGGACGCGGCGCACATGGCGCGCTGCCGTCAATCCGGGCCCGCCCATCCTGACTGTTAAAAATCAATACAAAGTCTCCGCTGATTCCTCTCAGCATGGCCTGCCTTGTAGCCGACGGTGCGAAATATGTGGCATGAATGGGACGCGGCGCGCATCGCGCGCGGACGTCCATGCGGGCTGCGGGCCCTCCCATCCTGATTGCATTAAAAACAGAGTTGCCGTTTGTCCTTTCATCATGGCCTGTCTTGTCGTCGACGATGCGAAATGCGTGGCAGGAATGGGGCGCGGCGCACATCGCGCGCGGAGTTCTGGGGCAACCCCAAGCCGGGAGGGGCCACCTTACTTGCCAGAAGCAATGCCATGCTGATTTTCGCTTGCCCACATAGCTGTTCTTGTCGTCCACCCCGCAAAAGTGCATGGCAAGAATTGGGCGCGGCACGCCCCGGCCCCCCCCCCGCTCGAAGTGAATGAAATGACCTTCTCGCTTGGGCGCCGAGCGGAATTTTCTCAAAGTTGCGCTCCCGCTTTGGCTCGGCGCACGTTTTTAGCTCGCCAATTCATTGGGCGCCGGGGCGTTCCAGGAGGCCCTGGGGTGACGAATGCCTGGGAGGTTTTTGCTTGTTCAGGCTCTTGGAGGGCCTCCTGAGTCTCCCCGCGGTTTCTTGGCGCTACGGCCGTCTGGAGGCCATCTTGGGCGTCTTGGAACGATCTTTCGGCGACTCAGGGCTACTACTACTACTACTACTACTACTACTACTACTACTACTACTACTACTACTACTACTACTACTACTACTACTACTACTACTACTACTACTACTACTACTACTACTACTACTACTACTACTACTACTACTACTACTACTACTACTACTACTACTACTACTACTAACTACTACTACTACTACTACTACTACTACTACTACTACTACTACTACTACTACTACTACTACTACTACTACTACTACTACTACTACTACTACTACTACTACT